TTACAGAAGTGGGGCTTCCACAGATCACACACAAAGGGGAGGGGGAGGGGATTTGAACCAATTTTTAATCAAGCGGGTCCCAACTTCATGTGAGGGTCGGTAAGAGGTCTATCAACTGACCCTCTATACATTTGGCTTAATCCAATCAACAATTTCAAAGCAACGATTTCAATTGGATTTGATGGGTTGACTTTTTGTTCACTCCTATTCTAATTCTATTAAAATATTTTGAAATCATTATACCTACGTCCAAACTTGAGAACTAAAACTAGTTCAATTTTAACTAAATTCGAATTAAACTACATTTAGGTGGTTTTAACCACCTACCTAATTAAAAACTTATAGAAATGTTGTGAAAAGAGAAAAAAAAAAAAAATAGAAGAAGAAGATGGAATAAATGCCAAACTTGTGTGTATTATAATGAGAATCAAAACCCTATATTTAAAAGGACATGATTAAGGATACAATTGTAATAATTTATAGGGTTGCAGGGATACAATTGTCATTCATTAATAAACTTACAATTTACAATACTCCCCCTTGAATGACAAATTGCAAAATATTTGTCTTGTCAAAATTTTGTTTGATAAAAATTCAATGAGACAAAAAAAATCAAACGACAGAAAAAGAGTACAGTTATTTTGGAGTGTCAAACATAAATATTGCTTCATTAAAACCTTGTTAGGAAAATTCAATGGGATAAAACCTAAACGAAAGAAAAATAGTACAACTACTCCCCCGACGTTGATCATTGAAAATCTTTGAATCTAATGCATTCCAACCTTATAAATCAATTTATTGAATGTAGATATTGGCAGTGTTTTTATGAATAAATCAGTCACATTATCACTTGAGCGAATTTGTCGAACATTAATGTCACAATTCTTCTAAAACTCATGTGTATAAAAGAACTTTGGAAAAATATGTTCTATCGTGTCACACTTGATATAACCTCTTTTGAGTTGTGTAATACAAGCAGCGTTGTCTTCATACAAAATTGTTGGACTATCTTTTGTTGAAATTAATTCACATGATGTTTGATATGATAGTTCATGAACTTCAACTGTACACATTCTCGGCTGCTCCATAAATTGCAATAATTTTAGAATGATTTGGGGATATTGCTGTCAATGATTGCTTCACAAATCTCCATAATATATGTGTTTTTCTACATGTAAACACGTATCATGTTTGTTATTTAACATTTTGTGAGTCAGGGAAGTAACATGCATCTGCATATCCCACTAAAATAGATCCCAAATTTTTAGAAATAAATAATCACAAATCAATAGATGATGCCAATAGATGTTTATTATCCATATAAAAGCGTTTTAAGACTTTTTCGTATATATAGATTGATGAACAAACAATCATTATGAGAAATGTTCAATTTGCAACTCGAGACAAAATTTTATTTTTCCCAAATCTTTCACCCCAAATTAATTTTTCAAATAATTTGCAATTTTGTTGAGCTCTTCAAAAATTCCAATTAAATTTATATTATTTTCGGACACTTGTGATTCTTCAAGAACTATATTTTCAATATTTAATTGATCAATCTTTTCTAAATCTACTTCTTTTGAAATTTTTTGTTGGTTTAGGTATAGAGTCTTTTAAACCAATGGTTAACCACGCTTATGGCGTATTTAAGATTAATCTGCTCGGCAAATTAATCTGCAGAGACATCAATTTTTGTTGTAATATTTTTTGTCGGTATATACGATTTTGTTACTTTTCTTGTATCAACAAATACATTTGGTAATTGATTTGCAACATCTTGCTCATATTGGTTGTTGCATGGATTAAAGTGAGATATAGTTGTTTCATTCCAATAAATTTAACCTTATTTATCAAGATGTAATTTTTATTCTCCCAGAGTTGAGAAAATCATTTTATCAAAATAACAATTTACAAAAAGTGCAGTAAATAAATCACCCTTTTAGAATAAGGATTCGTACTGCACATTTATTCTTAACATTTTTTGTTTTCCATCTCAATGTAATGTCATGAATCAATTGTACACACTATCAAATAATTAGATAAAGAAATCAAGGGAAGAACACGTTGTTGGCATGATGCATTCCCTAAACAAAAATTGGAAGTATTTTATTCTCAATTAAATTTATTGGAGGCGTTTAACGAATAATACTGTTAAACTATTTATCGACATATCAACTAACACTTATTAAAAAGTTGAGATTCAGGATCAATAGTATTAATAAGACATACCGTCTTGATTGTATAATCTGAAAATTATGCTCATAATTTAAACATCACTTTTACAAATTTCAGGTTGCAAACATCATGCAATCATCTATTATTTGTATCAAATTTATTATATGCAAAAAATATCTAGATGGTCAATGGGGAGGGTGATGAAGCCCCATATATCACCTTAATTAATTTTCAGAAATATAATAAATTCAATCAATATTTAACTAGCGACGATCAATGACCGATTTCAAAAAAGAGAAGAAACATCAAATATAAATTTTTTTGGATTAAAGAATCTTTTGGTTTTTCATCAAACGATTTTTTACCAAACAACAAACTCAAATTGAACTTCTAGTTTAATATAAAATATAATTCAATTATTTAATTTCGAAGTTCAAGCAGTCAAACTAATCAATATCCTTAATGACGTTAGTTATAAGTTTTTCTTTAGGAATAAACATGAATTCAAAATGATATTTTATTCGAAAATGTGCTATTTCGAGAGCACATTATCTTTGATTATTGCTTTTCCGGAGCAATGTATCAATATTTTTCTAGAATATTGAAAACTATAATTCATGGTCTTCAAGAGCGATAAATTAATATTTTTCTTGAATATTAATAACATAGAAAATTAATTTCCTTTAAAAATTACCATTTAATATTGAGTTGTTTACTTTGTGTTTCTTTAGGAACACAATGTGATATATATTAACTGGGATGTGTACTATTTCGAGAGCACATTATATTTTATTATTGTGTTTTCAAGAATAATAAATCAATATTCTTCTGGAGTATTGGAATCGAAGTTTTATGCTCTTCGTGAACAATACATATTATTGTTTGAAATAATAAATTGTATAAGAATTTACTCTTCTGGAGTAAAACATAATGTTACATTTTATTTAATTATGCTCTTTAAGAGCAAGTAAAATCTATCTAAAATATTAATAATTATGTGCTACTTCGGGAGCAACACTATTTCATAGTAGATAGATATACGATTAATAAATTCATAAACTATTATCGTATTAAAAAGAATAAGAATGTGATACGATAAACAAAAAACATATTTAATATCACATATTAAATAAATATATGAGACATGCCTTGGCAGTTTCGTTGCTCTTTTCATATTTTCCTTTTTCTAAATCTCTTCTTAAGATCCGGTACCATAGAAAGCGACTACTGTAGTATCAAGCAATAGAAAGCGACTACTGTAGTATCAAGCAATAGAAAGCGACTACTATAGCATCAAGCAAGGAAACTTCAATCGGCTGACTCAAATCCCATAGTTTCTCTGCAGCCCGTCTTTCGTTGAATCAACAATTGTATTATGTGACAAGATTTTTTTTTTTTTTTATATCCAGGTATCCCAACTTACACCAAACTATGTTTTGGACCACCCATCCCCGGCCCCTCTATGATGGGTAGAAGTTAACCGCGGGATATGCCCAAGTTGACCAGAGTCCGTGCACCCTTTATACTCCTGATCCCAAGGAAGCCTTCCTTCATGGATATTACATCACCAAGTTGCTCCACCCAAATTGAGTATTACAACACTCAGCTGCTCCATCCAGAAATCGAACTCCCCACCCTGAAGTTGCAAGCCCAACAATGCTCGTCCTTTACCAACTCGGATGTGCCCCGGAGGGTTATGTGACAAGATTTATTACTCGGATCTCCCATGGCTAGTAGGAAAAGTTTTATACTTCAAGCAAGTAAAGCAAGTGCACGCTTCTCAAAATCTGTGTAGTTAACTCATAAACAAAAAAAGATCAATTACCAATAATCCCTGCAAAGTTCTTTGAATAATCTGTGCAATTAACTCTTAAGCAAATTGTCGTATTTGAATAATTTTAAAGAAGCAAATCAATTGAAAACACACAGCACCCATATTTTTTTTAAGAAAAAAATAGCAATTGAATAAAGACGTTTGTGCTAATAACGTATTGTGAAAATAGAGAAAAAAGAAAAGTGAGAATAAAAGTCAATAAACTTATGTATATGATAATGTGAATCAAAGTTCTATACTCATAGGACAAAACGAGGAATACAATTGTAATAATTTTTATGATTACGGGAATACAGTTGTCATTCACCATTAAACTTATCATTTACAATAAGAAAAACATTTTCAAATAACTAACACGTTGGACCTTTGACCGAGAAAAACTCGACTAGTAAACTATGCTCATCAGTCATCACAGAAAAGCACAAACAGAAAATAATATTCCAGTATTTAGAATTTTCCATTTTTCAAAGTGACAAGTGGAAATTCAACTTTGCTGTCTATTCTCAGATTTTCAATTCCGCAAGGCGCAAAAAAAGCTATTTGGTAGTTTACTGTATAATTGCCTTTGCTCATTTTTGACCGCCATAGATTGTGGGTTTTCACTAAATCATTGCTGCTTCTGCTTTTTTGGGCACTAAAGCTAGGGTTCTTCACTCATACTACATTATTTTTGCTGTATTAATCCAACCCCTAATTCGGTTTGTTTGCGGTTTTTTTTTAATGTACCCTCGATTTGTCGTTCGTTGCTTAATAGATCTTAACTCATTTAGTTTTTTCTGGTGAAATCTGATTTTATTTTTGCGTTACTGCGAATTTCTTGTTCTATTTATGGATATTTATTGAATTGGGTAAAACCCATTTGGTGGACTTTCCTTTAAAGCTTGATTTGTTCGTATGCTTTGCATGCGAATTTGTTGTTTATTTGAGAGGTTTTGAATGAGGGATAAGAGTGTGCGATGTGGTGAGAAATGAAGTTTGGTGTTTTTGAGAGATGGGGTGTGTTTTTGGAAAAGAGATTTCATCATCTGGGCCTCCTACTGGCCAAGTTGTAACTGGTAATGGTAGGGTTATTGAGGGAAAGAGAGATTTAGTCTCACAGTCGGGGAGGAGAGAGAAAGTAGTAGTTGGTTCTGTAAGTAAGGCGGAGGACCACAGTGGCTGCAAAGGCGGAGGGGATGGTGAAGTTCAGAACGGTGGAGATCAGAAGGAGGAGCAGAGGGATGGAAATGTGCGAAAGCAGAGAAGTGAGAGGAGGAGGTCTAGGCCAAATCCTCGTCTGAGTAATCCCCCAAAGAACATCCATGGCGAGCAAGTGGCTGCTGGATGGCCAGCTTGGCTCTCGGCAGTTGCAGGGGAGGCAATTAATGGATGGACCCCTCGTCGGGCTGACACATTCGAGAAACTTGATAAGGCAAGTGCTTTTTAGTTTAGTTTCCTGTTTTTATATGTTATATTGAGTTAGTATCTCATTTTTTGTATGTTTTTCTGTGGGATCGAGATTAGATTGGACAAGGTACTTACAGTAATGTCTATAAAGCTAAAGATACCTTAACGGGGAACATCGTTGCATTAAAGAAAGTCAGATTTGATAATTTGGAGCCCGAGAGCGTGAGATTTATGGCTCGAGAGATTTTGATTTTGCGTCGTTTGGACCATCCAAATGTTGTGAAATTGCAAGGATTGGCAACTTCAAGGATGTCATGTAGTTTGTACCTAGTGTTTGACTATATGGTGCATGATTTGGCTGGCTTGGCTTCAAGCCCCGGAATCAAATTTACAGAGCCTCAGGTTGGATTCTACTTATTTCTTTTTACCCATTTTCTTATATGAGTTCCTGAATCTCTCTCTTGTAGATTTATTATGTTTTCTTATGCTGGCATTAAATGATTGATATTGTAGGTCAAATGCTACATGCATCGGCTATTGTCAGGCCTTGAGCACTGCCATAACAGGCACGTGTTGCATCGTGATATTAAGGGGTCAAATCTCCTAATTGATGATGGAGGAGTTCTTAAGATTGCTGATTTCGGTTTGGCTTCCACATTTGACCCTAACAACAAGCAGCCGATGACCAGTCGAGTGGTTACTCTTTGGTACAGGCCTCCAGAGCTGCTTCTTGGTGCCACCAATTATGGTGTAGGTGTGGACTTGTGGAGTGCTGGGTGTATTTTAGCGGAGTTATTTGCTGGGAGGCCCATCATGACTGGGCGGACAGAGGTAGATGGTTTTTCTCTGTTGCTAGTCGTTACTCATTGCAATACATTTTGTACTCATTCACCAGACATTTTGTAGTTAATGAACTGCTATTGCTGGAAATGATTGTTTGTCATTCTATATTTGACTAGAAATAGAAGAAGTCTCATTGTCTCTGAGGCTGAATTTATATTATTTATGATTTATAAATTGCTTGAAAAATGAATTTAGACGAAAATATATTATCGAACCCGCTGTTAATCATGATTTAAAAAATGTCTTGAGAAATGATCTTGATATCTTTTGCTGTGTGTTATCCTTTCTTGAAATATACCTTGTGTTGGCCTCACGGAAGGGTAGATGTAGGTTAATGAAGTTCAACATGCTTGAAATGAGACCAGAAGCACTAATTCTCAACATTCCGTATGCTTGTGCCAATCAATTATTTTACCAGTAAAAGGAAGTATTCAAGTAGGGACCCTCTTAGGGATCTTGTTTATAAAATGGCTTACTAAAGAATCCGTACAAGCCTCCTTCTCCACCTTTTCTTCTCCGTACTCTTTTATTTCCTCTTAATCCCGCAAACCGGGGTTCTCGCATTTTGGTCCCCTTTCCAAAGGAGGATTACCGTCGGGAGAAAGCTGCTCCAAATTCTTCTGGGGAAAAAAAAAAGAACCACATTCAGATCCAGCCCGAAATCCTGAACTTGTTGGCATTAATCGACCTGCCACAGGCACATCCGCTGGATTTGGCGGATATGTTGTGCCTCAAGGCTTCTGTCATTCTCAAGTCTATTTCAGGATTCCCTTAAAAGGGAGCAAGAGGTTGGACAACGCAGAAGCCTTGCTCAAGGATTCAGCTGAGGAGATACTGCAACTCGCTATAACCTTGGTCTTCTGGTCGACCACTTTTAGAATTATTCCATTAGATAATACTTGGCATGGTGAAGGCATAATGATTAGGTGTGACTGGCATTGGGTAGGGTGGCTGCCAGCAGTTTGATTCTCAGCATAATGCAATTATGAAAGAGGTTTCCCGATCTGGCACTCGACATTTGTTGTCTCTTCAATTTTCGTTGCTGTAGTTGAGTCTAAGGGGTTGTTTGATATAACTTTTGATAATGAAATGTGTGGTTAAAAAGTTGATAAAAGTTGTGAGTCCCATGGAAATGTGTGATTAAAATTTATTGTTGACTTTGACTTCAATTTTTTTTTTTAAGCTTTCCCATGCAACCACTGTGTTGTGCAACAATTTAGCTCATTATGTATGTTGTCCAATGTCTTAATTTTACTAATTTTTGCAGGTTTCTTTACTTCACTACCAAGCGTTTAAAGTTACTATCATCATATCTGCATTAAAACTGGACTTGTATTAATAACTAGGTGAATGCTATTATTATGCTTAGGTGGAACAGCTGCACAGGATTTTCAAGCTATGTGGCTCTCCGTCGGACGAATATTGGAAAAAATCTAAACTACCGCATACAACCATATTCAAGCCTCAACAGTCATATAAAAGATGCATAGCAGAGACCTTTAAAGATTTCCCGCCATCATCACTGCCATTAATTGAGACTCTACTTGCAATTGATCCAGCTGAGCGTCAAACTGCTACAGCTGCATTAAACAGTGAAGTGAGCTCCCTTGTCCCTCTCTCTAAACACGGATGCACATACACAAACAAAAAAAGGAAGGAAAAAGAAATCCTCCTTGAGAAATTCAGAAAAATTATCATCCACCTTTATATTTTGTTGTAGTAACTCTTGTACTGCTCCATAATTATGTTTTTCCTCATCTCTCTCCCACTCCCACCATTTTTTTCCCTGCACGAAGCTGTGTTGTCTACCTTTCCGTAGACATTTATGGAGGATATACGGCATTCCATGACATTTGTCCAATACTAGTGAATGTCGAATGTGCATTGCACGTTATTATGAAATGTTTTATAAGTACTATAAAAGTAATATTTGAATATGTGTAAATGTTAATTAATCTAGAATTAATACCAGGGAATATATACGTGACAATGAATGTTAAATCATTTATTTAACTTTCAATTAAGTAGATCTGGATGTTAATTAGCATACATGAACGCGAATAATGAAATGCATTCTTCTAATTAACTTATAATTAGAATTAATAACACTGAAATGCATAAATGAAGATAAATATTAATTAAATGAATGTGAATGTGAATGTTAATGTTAATTAATTGATATTTAATAATAGGGAATTTATACATTAACGAAAACATACGGGTGAAATGAATATGTCAAATGTACATATACATTGGTTGTGACTAAATGGTTAAATAAATTAAAAATATATTGAAAAATGAAAAATAATGTATTATTGAAATAATTGAATTACAGTAAGGCTAAAATCATCCAAAAAATGATTCTCACTTGATGTGATATTTAATATATTGTAGATTATTGATCTAAGTGGTCCAGAATTCTCATTATACGTCACTCTCAGAAGTATGTTATTTGTTGTTTTCACTTTTCATTCTTGCAGTTCTTCAGAACAGAACCTTATGCATGTGATCCATCAAGTCTTCCAAAGTATCCTCCCAGCAAGGAGATGGATGCTAAGCGGCGTGATGAAGAAGCTAAAAGGTTTCGAAGATAACTATAGCCTGTAGTTTTATTCATTTTGACTATTAATGTTTCATTAGATTGAATCTAAACTTCAAATTCCAATACTTGCTGTAGTACCTGACACACAGTATATCAAATTCAACATATAATCCATTATTTGAAAATTGGATTAAGGATGTGGTGATTGACTTCACATCCATATGATTACTTCTTTTCTATTTGTCAAGAAGCTGCAGGAACAGTTACATGATTCGTTATGTTTCCCCTAAACACCTGACTTAAGTTTCATGGTTATAGGCTAAGAGCTGCTGGTAGAGCCAATGCTGATGGTGTGAAAAAAACACGTACACGGGAACGACCAATGCGGGCAATCCCTGCTCCTGAAGCCAATGCTGAGCTGCAAGCCAATATTGATGTATGTCATTTAAGATGCATCCTTCAGAATTATATTTATCCATTGGTTGTTTATTTTGCGTCCAGTAACAAATAAGAGTAGAACGTATTCTATGAAATAGAGCGAAGAAAGAATAAAATAATTGGAATCCATAGTTGTGATGCATTGTTGTATTGGATCGAGATACAAATCTTGATCTAGCTACAAGGATGAGGCTTTATTTAAAAATATGGAAAGCAAAATTGTAAAAACTAAAAACGATAATATAAATTACTAGTTTTAGAATCTAGTTGGACAAAAAAAAANAAAAAAAAAAAAAATTTAACATAAATTTTCACTATTATCTGAAAATTTTAATTTAAGGATTTTGTGGAATATCTACCGTCTCTCTCCCTCTTCCCCCTCCCCCTTCTAAACCTTCACTGTTTCAGAAGCACCTCTAGTATCAGTTCTTCTCTAGTCAATACTGCCAGTCTGCCAACATATTTTTTGAAAAATAATGTTGGATTATTGTTTTTCTATACTATTTACAGCGATTCAAAAAAAATTCTATCCATTTTGATTTCTCGTGGCTCTTTGGAGTAGAAGTGCTATTTTTCTAGTGTTGGATTGATGAGCATTATAATTTTATTTTTATTTTGGTAAAGTCCATTTAGGTATAGGTACGAGTCTTAAGGCTCTTACCTAAGTCCAAATGGGGGGTTGATGAGCTTTATAATTATAGTACGTGCTTTTGATATTTGTTTATCAGTTGTGCTATAACTGGCTTTTGTCCCCCCCAAAACAGAGACGGCGACTAATTACACATGCGAATGCAAAGAGCAAAAGTGAAAAATTTCCACCCCCACACCAGGATGGAGGACTTGGTTATCCTTTGGGCGCTTCACATCACATGGATCTGGCCTTTGATCCTCCTGATGTCCCGTACAGTTCCATGAATTTCTCATATTCCAAGGAACCCATTCAAACTTGGTCGGGCCCATTGATGGACCCCTCTGCTGTTGGTGCTCCACGAAGAAAGACGAGGCCATCGAAGAAGGATAAGAACTCCAATTGGAACAAGGAGAAAGGTAACATGTAATATATCACTATTCTATACTTTCAGCAATCAACACTTTGAGGAGCAAACACAGCAGATTCTCTATATATTTGAGAGAGGTAGAATATATTTCGATTCACATTTGTTTCTATTATTTTTGGGATCATGAGAATATCTATGGTATAAATGTCAAATTCTTTTCCTCGCTTTGACTTACAGTGTCTTGATTAGTGAAGAATTATAATAAGAATTCTAAATCTTTCTTTGCTTTTCATGATTTATTCTAAATTTTGTGGTTTCCATTGAGACAACCAACTTTTTCATCCAACCTGATTCCCCATTTTACGGCATTTTTTAAATTACTAGTTTGAACAATGAGTAATGCTGGCACTAACGTGGTATTAAACGAGTGGTATAATTCTAGACTGGTGTTGTAGCACCAATGGTGCTAGATAGCATTATTTTTTGAACAAGGGAGTTGTAATTGAAGTCATGCTATATTCATGAGAAGAACTGTTCTATGCTTCTGCGTGATTTTTAAGCATTTCTCGACAAAATTAACTCTATTTTGCTTTTTCAAATGCTGCAGCAGGTTCTATTTTCGGCGTTGTTTTGTTGATCGTTACTAAATCATATAAACCCTTTCCTTCATTTATATATCCACTCTAAATCACTGTTGAGCTATACCAGTCGTAATGAATGTCTGTTTGAATGTTTTGTGTTGAATTCAGCGTCTTAAAGTTGATGCTTTCCTTTTTCTCTATTTTCGGTTTCTGCCAATATCTGGAAATGATATTTAGCCAGTGTTTGGGAAGAATTTATAATCGTTCTTAATTTATAAATGTATAAAAATGAGTAGTTGATAATATTTGTGGGTAGGTTATGCTGATATAAAAGCAGGGATATGTTGTGTGGGTTCCTCCACAAGGTTCGTACAAGGAGGATGAGTCAGGGCCTAAGATCAAGCAGAGAGGCATGTCTTAACATAAAAAAGAGCTTTTTTTGTTAGGCACAAAAAGTTCTCGCCCTTGTATTGAAATGCGTGATTAAAAATGAAGTTTGAGATTCATAAAGTTTTACCAAATGTAAGCCTTTAGATGGGATAATTAACTGTGTTAAGAGTCCAAAAAGATCAAGCGACACTTGGATTTGTATAAAATCACCTGCCACAATTCTAATCTCGTGCAATCGCATTATCTTCGTAAAGTATCTCTTGTTAGAATTATGGTATGATTTTTGGAATTTAAAAATGTTTCTTTATTTTATCAATTTTTCTCTTAGGGTCCGTTTGATTGACAAATGTGGAAAGTATTTTTAATTCCATGTAAGTTGGAAAATAAAAACTCAAGTACCCTATATGAATGCATTTTTTATGAAATTGACAAAAAACAAGTTTAAAGTGATTGTTCTTTGGAATTCGAACTTCATTTTCACTTTCGTATCAAACAATCAAAATAGAAATTGAATTCCTCGAATATGATATTTTTCATGAAATTTAAACCAATCAAACGGACCCTTAGTGAAAAGAGCATCGTACTTGACATGGTTTTGTTTCTCCTTTAAAATTGTCTGGCACGACGCGGTCCAACTGTACAGCTTGATCATGGAATCCTAATACACAGAAAATCAAAACTAAGGTCACATTTGTAATTGCACAAAATAGTATTAGATCCCGTTTTACATTATTTTTAAAAAGTCAAAATGAGTTTTTGAGATTTAAAAATTATTTTTGGACTCGTTTTAACTAATTTTACGAAAGTGCTTCTCCTAGTTAGATGAACTTTTACAGGAAAATGGTTTAATATGACTTCTTCTAAAAACACATTTGTAATAGGAAGTTCTTTTAAAAATTAGTTTTTAAACAAAAAATTAAATAACTTTATTAAAAAACTCTTCTACATAAAGCAAAATTAAAAGTTAAAATCATGTCGAATGGACCCTTATTCTTCGGTAAATTATAAGTAATGAATTGGTCAGTTGCATATTGTGGAAGAATAAATCATTTGATCATATTCAATCAACTTAGTGATGCAATAATTGTTCCCACTATATTTTTTTTCGTAGTTGTCACTTCCATCAATTGCTAGACAGCACAATTTTACCTAACATTAGGCCATATGGACCATATAGCACTTGGCACATAAAAATCAAATAATATTCGTTTGATCACAATGTTACCACCCCCCACCCCCCGAAAATTGAATTTAAAAGTTATAAGGTGTTACGAGGCATACGTTTTGTGTGAACATAGTTTATTTTTCTGTTAAAGAGTGTCAAATTGTGTCGAACAGCTTGATACGCTTTAGCCATGGTCCAATTTTAGAATCGAATAGTTGACATGAAGTGATTGATAACTTTAAATGTACTTAGAAATCATCTTTTTGGCCCGTTTGATTCTCATTACTGTAGAATGAGAATGAAAAATATAACCGTTATTGAGTTCCACACAAGATATAAAAATTTAAAATAGATGACTTTATATGATGGATAACGGTCATATTTTTCATACAAAAAATGAGAAACAGACGGGAGCTGAATTGGACAAGAAGGTAAATCTTGAATTCTAGCTCTTTGTAGTTCATGAAAAATCACGAAAGGTAAATAAAAACTTTCAAGTAAAAATTGACAGAAATAAAAGGTGTTGAAAAAATATAGTTTTATGTGCTTGTTAATAAATCACTAAGTACTAATGTGAATTCGAAATATATAAATCATCGATTCAAAGTCCACCTTTTTTGAAGAAAAATAAGAGAGTAAACATCGAATCATAAACTTCGTGAAGTAACTCGATTATAGAGAATTGGATTCAAGAAACGAATGTCGTAAGCTGTAATAATATATTGACGTTCTTAGATTATTAACTTACGATGAGTCAAATGTACATATATTTATTAGGAATTCATGATAGAAAAATATAATTACTATACTATGCATGCTTTTTATCAAATAAGCTCAACCACCAACATTTTCATTACAATGAATGTTCTTATTTTTGCTTAATTTTCAATTATATTCTTAACTTTTTTTCATTGTATTATTCTCTTCAACTTTCTATTAGTTTGCCCCTCTCGTCTATTATGATGGTTCTCCCTACAAAATTTGTTAGGAGAGCTCAAAATATTTATTTGTCTATCGTATTTTTAAATAAGTAAAATAAAAAACAAATATAAATGTTTGACAAAATATTTGTCCTCAATTCAATGCACATTAGTAGAATATAAGAACAAAAATTACGGTGGTTATATTGACATCATAATTTTTATTTATTACACCACATTTTAATTGCAGTTAAACTCCTCAATTTTTGCTCATTGTAGAAATTATTTCCTTAACTTTTTTTGGTCGAATTCTTTTATTTAACCTTTCATGACTTAGTACACATCGTTCTTGACGATAATTTATATCAAAATATTTTGTTTTTATGTGAAATGACAGAAAAAATATATTTTTACACTTTTTTTATATATATTTTTTAAAATATGATGGAAAAATGAGTTGTTTTATGCAATTTCAACAAAATTTTGGATATAAAACTGATATCAAAGACAAAAATGTGTTAACTAATGAAACGTTTGAGGATAAAAATGACATGAAAAAACTGTTAGGGACATAAGTGCTATTAAAAACCTTAAGTACAATTAAAATGTGGTACAAAATTACTTATCCTAGAAATTATCATTGAGACAAGATGTGTTAATTTAATAAAAAGTTGTTGACATTAAAAAGTATATGGATCAATTCAAATCAACTTTGAAAGCAAATAAGGAGAAATAAGGATTTTTTTTAATTGATAATCACTTATAAATTACAAGATCATCAAAGGAGATATTTTCCATATCAAGGTGTTCTCTCTCCTTTCTAAAGATACCTTACATATTTTTATAAGAAAAGAAAATTCAGTATCTTTCACATTTCTGTCTTGTCAATTGATAGTACCGAACTGAAAAAGTACATTACAGGCATACTTTCATTGGTTACTGAGGTCGGCTTTGTTAGGTTATCATGAAACCGTCCTTTAAATGGGTCCTTAGCAATTAATGAAATAGTGAGTGGACGAAACTATATTATATGATTGGTGAAATAAGTGGGCACTGACGTAAGCTCTGAATGTAATTAATTGATTGAATGTTTTAACAGTGTGTAAGGAATTTATAATCGTTATGTTCCCTCAAACTACGACGGTCGTTAATACGAGCTGGCCTTATAAAGTCGATCTCAAATTATTCCTTTTTCTCTATTTTCGGTTTCAACCAATATCTGGAAATGATATTTAGCCAGTGTTTGGGAAGAATTTACAATCGTTCTTAATTTATAAATGTATAAAAATGAGTAGTGGATAATATTTGTGGGTAGGTTATGCTGATATAAAAGCAGGGATATGTTGTGTGGGTTCCTCCACAAGGTTCGTCCAAGGAGGATGAGTTAGGGCCTAAGATCAAGCAGAGAGGCATGTCTTTACATAAAAAAGAGCTTTTTTTGTTAGGCACAAAAAGTTCTCGCCCTTGTATTGAAATGTGTGATTAAAAAGGAAGTTTGAGATTCATAAAGTTTTACCAAATGTAAGCCTTTAGATGGGATAATTAACTGTGTTAAGAGTCCAAAAAGATCAAGCAACACTTCGATTTGTATAAAATCATCTGCCACAATTCTAATCTCGTGCAATCGCATTATCTTCGTAAAGTATCTCTTGTTAGAATTATGGTATGATTTTTGCAATTTAAAAATGTTTCTTTATTTTATCAATTTTTCTCTTAGGGTCCGTTTGATTGGCAAATGTGGAAAGGTTTTTCAATTCCATGTAAGTTGGAAAATAAAAACTCAAGTACTCTATATGAATGCATTTTTCATGAAATTGACAAAAACAAGTTTAAAGTGATTGTACTTTGGAATTCGAACTTCATTTTCACTTTCGTATCAAACAGTCAAAATAGAAATTGAATTCTTCGAATATGATATTTTTCATGAAATTTAAACCAATCAAACGGACCCTTAATGAAAAGATCATCGCACTTGACATGGTTTTGTTTCTCCTTTAAAATTGT